ATCGACGCCATGGGCGACGAAGGCGTAGAAACCGTTGACGGAGCCACAAGAGGGCTTCATGGTGGCCGCGGAAAAGAACGATAGGGAATTACACGCGGCAAGGAATGGAGAAGCGGATCGCGTGAAGGTGGAGAAGAGGAGGTTAAGTAGGAAGAAGCGGTGGAGGAGGAGGGCGGCTTTAAAGCTCACCTCCCGACGCTGAAAAGGATAGTTTGGCCGCAATGATGGGTGGTTGGTTTACAGGGGAAAGGATGATTGGAATTCTGGTCAGTCTCATGGCTTCTCTTCGTTCCTCTTCTTCTCTTCTCTCTCTCTCTCTCTCTCTCTCACTAGATTCGACTGTAGGGGAGAGAGAAAGAGAGGAGGAAGCTGGTTTCTTTGTTCTTGGTACTTGAGCTACAAAGTTCTTGGTGGCTTTCTAACTTGGTTTTGTAGGGGTGGGAGAGGGCGAGTGCAATGCTACCCAAGTCGACAGAGTTGAATGGAATCCTTTGGAGACGGCGACTGTGATATGTTGGGGCCAGAGACGGGCAAAAAGTGAGCCCCCCTTCTCTGATTGGTGTGCTTCCTTTTGCTTCTCTTTTCTCCTATCTTTCTTTCTGGGGCTACTGAGACTTTTCCCTTTTCTATGACACCTTTCCCTGCTGAAGCACATATGCAATCACCAAGGGAGGGTGTTCCATGTGAGCCTCTTGTACAAACTTGTAGGCTTGAACAAGTCATGCCATCATCTCTCTACCATTGCCAACCTCCTCAGCTTTCTCTAGGGGAAATGGGTGTTGGATTCCATCCAGTCATACGGGGCATGATATCTTGTCTTATGGCCAGCCAAGATCCTGAGTGGTCCTCCACCTTTTCTGGTAATTGTAAGTCTCAGGGTTACGATTACTCCATTTTGCCTCTGCTATTATTAAGATCTCAATTTCTGCTTTTTCCAGTTGGCACTTATCTGAAGTCTCATGAGAGAGAGAGAAAAAAAAATCATCATCTTTCAAGCTTTTTTCATCCCTTTATAGTGAAAGAAATAGTAATTATTCTTTGCTAAGTGTAAGACTATATAGATTGATTCTTTCAAGATTTTGTACCCATAGGAACCTTACGCAGTCGACCGTCAGTGTAGTAATAGATAATTGATGAAACTCATGTGCTCGAGATACTTTAGGATGAGGGATGATGTCCCTAATGATTAAGGTGGTACAATTAAGAGGCAAAGGAGGGTATGATTTGGCTTATATAATCTCTTAAACACTTGTATGGGTTCACTTTTTTTTCTTGAAGAGCAAGGAATGGAATCATCCACTGTGTCCATCCATATCTCTATCCACCATGCAGATCTTCTTTTCGGCCTCACCCTTGCTTTCATCTTCCTCCTCACTGTATTTTTAATTGCAAAGCCTTGGTGTTACAAAATTCTGGGGCTCCACCATCACATTTTCTAACCCATGGATGATGCTTTGGACTTTTGGGAGAGAGAATGTTGGTCTCTTGAGATCTCATTGGGAAGAGGAGGAGGACAATGATCATGCTCATATGCTAATTCTACAGTGACATGGAACACTATGATCTGCTGACACATGGTAACTTGCTGTCATTGCCTGGTTCAAAGTAGGCTGCGATGCCTGGCTAGTCATCTCCTCCATCATGAAGCCTGGTAGCCTTGCGAATGCCTGGACCACCAAGCGAGAAGATACTGGTAAGAAACATCACTTGGCTTCTGTGTTTGTGAGTATCTGTCTTGCATTTGGTTTAGCAGTTGCAAATGCCTGTCTTGCATGCCTAAAACTGCTCCAATAGTTGCATATGGTTTAGTAGAATCGAAGTGTTTGTGAATGCATTTCTGTGACTCAATTAAATGTTACATGATGAATGACTTGATCACTAAGTAGCACTGTTCTCACAAAAGAGAGACTCAACTGCTTAAAAAGACTATGACATGACACCACCACATCTTCTATATATATATATATATATATATATATATATAATTTTTTTTCTTCTTACAGACTAAACAGATCCACTAATTCTTTTGTTCTAGTGTTTTTCTAGCTATTGTTCTACTTTTGTTTTATCAGATCAAAAAAGAATCAGAAAAGAAACAAAATTAGCCTCTACACAAAGAGATTGAGAAAAGCAATTACCACAAAAGTCAGGACATGGCTTGTGGGTCATCACAATAAAGACTTTGCAAGAATCCCATTTGTAGCTGTTTCAGATCCAGAACTGTCAATCTCACACTTCTATCAGAAAGCCTGCCTTTTCCTATATCCATCCTCTGCCTTCCTAAGCCATACAAAGCTTGTAGTTTTCTGATCATTTGGTTCCCTTTTTCCAACTACTTATAGATGTATGATATTGCTGCTGCTATCTCAAGTTGAAGGAGATAGCAACCGCTGGTATTTCTTCTGGTTTTTGAATGATAGCAACTGCTAGTGCTTTAAGTTGGGTAGTCATTCTGTGGCTGTTGTTAGTTTGGCTTACCTTCTTTTTGACACTGCTGATGGAGAAGACCCGAGTTGAGGCCATACCAATCTTCATAGTGACAGCCACAAGAGGAGTCTAGTGTCTGACATCCCTTTGTGGGAGGATAACTTCTGTGAGAGAAGATACATTTGCCCTCTATCATTCACAACTCATCCACTGAAAGAGATGTGGCTTTCTTTTGGACCTCTTTGGCGCTTCCACATCTCTGTCCCTACTCTATTACTTGGAAGACTTGAAAGAGATGAACCATAGCTTTCTTTTATTTTTTTTTATAATAGTTTTCAAGATCTCAAATATTGATCGGTACAGGATGTACTGATCAGTATTTATCAATGACAAAGAATTAGTCTCAGATCATATAGTTCGGTCGAAATCGATATTATTAGTTTTTTGTTATTTTCTGATTAATATCAGAATGTATTGTGGTTCAGTATACCGATGCACTAGGATACTACTTCGGTCCATTAAATTACTGAAATGAGTACAGGATCGAGATTTCAAACCTTGATACTTTTATACTCATTTTTATCATTCATTATTATTTTGCAGTGATACCAATCGATATACATCAACAAACAGGTCAGTATCTTGATTTCATACTAGTATTTGCAACCTTGATAGGGAGAATGCTAGTGACTTTGACATTTTGTTTCACACACACAACTCTCAAACTGAATTGAGTTGGCTTCCCTTGATTTCCACACCACAATTACTGCAATATTTAAAGAAACACATGAATTGGAATATCTTGAAGCTGAAGGTCAGAGGAAATCACATATAGTGTTTGTTTTTAAGCAATAGAGGGAAAGCACAAGAAGAGTTGAAGCTTTAGGCAGTAGTTTGATATATCTACCACAATGTCTTCAAACAAGCTTTGAGAAAGAGAGAAAAAAAAAAACAGATCATGAACAGAGAAACTTTGTGAATGATTGTTGCCTAGTGGAGTGGGTGAACTCCACTTCACCAAAGATCATCCACAATAAAAAAAATGATATCAGTGGTCTACTAGCATTCCATACTTACATGGCAAATGTAACATAAATCTGAAAGAATATTGACAATGACTTACATGAAGCCTGTTATAAAGTTTTTCAACTAGTTGACCTAATGACCTCATCCACATTCTACATTCTGATAGGATAAGCCAACCACAGATGCAAGTGAAGCCCTTGGAGAATACAAATCCTTTAAGATATGCCTCACTCTAGTGGTTGAATGAACAATTGGGAAGGTGGATATAGGGGGCAGGAAAAAGTAGAACATCTTCAAGTAGCCTTTTGGTTAAAAGGGTTGATGGACTTGAAGCTGATATCATCCAAGTCAAAGGATAATAACTCCTCCAACTTGAAGTTTCTTTGCTGTCATTATTGAACAGGCTTATGATTGGTGGTGTCCACTAATGAGGAGAGATGCTCTTACCACAAACTCTTTTGCAACTCATCATCATTACATCTGCACTGAGCTCATAGTTATGGTGAAAAATGTGTATGTTGAAGTATCTATACAAAGATAAATTATTTATGAACAAATTATATACTTGTGAGAGGCAGCTTTTGATGAATTGTTAGGATAAAATAGCTTAACTTCTCAACATAATTATTATGATTGACTTGAAGCCCCCAAGTATCATGTTTACTTTTAACAAAATATATAGAAGTTATTATATAATTAACCAAATGAAGGTGATGAAAATATAAGAAGTTCGTATATATATATATATATATATATATATATGTGTGTGTGTGTGTGTGTAAATGTAAATGTATTATGTATATGCCTTATGTGTATATATTGTGTATATGTACATGAAAATATTTATATATATATATTTAGTATCATAATTTGTCATCGAAGCGCCCGTGGCCTAATGGATAAGGCGTCTGACTTCTAATCAGGCGATTGTGGGTTCGAGTCCCACCGGGCGTGATTAATTGTGTTTTTATTGTTGTTTCTGAGGACAACTGCATAGATTATTTAGCTAATATTAACCAAATTAATCCAAAAATATTTGATATATTTAAAATATATTTTAAATAAAACATGTGGTCTCATGTCCATACGTATTTGGTGCGTACGTATGTTCGTCGGTATTCGTACACGTATACATGACCATGATGATGGTGGCGAGATACATATACCGCGCATATGTGTAAATGTATTATGTATATGCCTTACGTGTGTGTATTGGGCATATGTTCATGTAAATATTTCTATATATATATATATGTCGTATCAGCATTTGTCATCAAAGCGCCCGTGGCCTAATGGATAAGGCGTCTGACTTCTAATCAGGCGATTGTGGGTTCGAGTCCCACCGGGCGTGATTAATAATGTTTTTATTATTCTTTCTTAGGACAACTGCACAGATTATTTAGCTAATATTAACCAAATTAATCCAAAAATATTATTGATATATTTAAAATATATTTTAAATTAAACATGTGGTCTCGTGTCCATACGTATATGGTGCGTACGTATGGTCGTCGGTATTCGTACACATATACATGACCATGATGATGGTGGCGAGAAACATATACCGCGCACCGGGAAGGAAGGCGGCAGCAGCATGAAGATAGCATGGAAGAACAAAGCTGCTGGGGGACGAGGCAAGAAGCGGTCGCTTCCTTCCTCCGTCGACCTCAATCCCAGCCTCCCTTTCGACAGGGGAGAGGACGACCCCCCCGCCGCCGCTGCGGGAGCCGAAGCAGGGAGAACGAACCCTGACAGTGGCCAAGAAACCCCAACCGATGACCATCACATCAAGAATATCGCTGATTCCTTCCGTTGTCAGGGGAATCAGCTGGCCGAGGTATTTCTACTCGACCCATCTCGCCCTCCCTCCTCTCGAGATCATCAATCGGCTGCTTGCCCTCCGAATTCAACGTTTGGGATGAACGTCCTTGGAATGTCGTTCTTGGCCCTAATTTGGTTATTTGGGGTTTCGAGTTGCTAGATATCAGGTGGCCGGCAATTCGAGACATCCTGCAACCCCAAGAAGAATCTCGTCTTTGGTTCAACGCGATCGTCCATTATCGTTTAACTGCAGCATCGATCGCAGGATTAGTAGTGGTTCATTTCGCATATGTCATTGCGTACCTTCTTTAGTTGTTAAGCACATGACCTGACTGCCTCGATGCTGTATCTGTTGCCTTTATCACTCTTGTCGAGGAAAAGGGATTTTGGGTTCGAGGGGGAGATGAAGAAATCGAAATTCCACTTTGTCAATATCTGGCAGTATTCTTTTCGTTTTTGGAGCATTTCCAGTTTTTCCTCGCCGCTCGAAAAGAGTCCTTCTGGTTTTGATAACCTGGTTTTGTCTCCCTTGTTCCTAGGATTCGGTCATTGCTCATATTTCAGATTTCATTGATGAAGTGGATATTTTTATGAACAGTCAGAAAGTAAAAGGTGAAATTTCACCCTTTTTTCATTGTATGTTTGGAAACAAGAGTGTTTTTAACTTCTCATATTCAAAATGGTTAAATCTAAGGTTTCCTAGTGATAAACTAGTCTCAAGAACACTTGTAATGAAAAGAAAGTTGTAGAAAGGTTTAAGAGCAACACTAACTTTGTGATTGCATCTCACAATCAACGGCCTTTTCAAAGTTTATGCTTTTTGGGGAAGAAAGGAAATTATACTTTGATTGATTGTGTTTTGTTTATGGCATTGGCTGCCTTTTGTCCATTGCTTTTAATTAGAAAAATTATGTCAGTTTTACTAACTTGCTGCTAAATTTTTTCACTTCTAGGATGGAAAGTACCATGAAGCTTTAGGGAAGTGGGAGGCTGCACTGACATTGGAACCAAAAAATGCTGTGCTCCATGAACAAAAGGCACAGGTTTTACTTGAACTAGGTGACTCATGGAATGCCTTAAAAGCAGCCACTCGTATGTGTCAATCCTTTTTCTTCACACTGATCATTTTAGACTAAAGTTCATGTGTGATGCATTCATACATTATGTGACATATTGGCTGTTACCATGTTAGTTGTTGACTCTGATTTAACATTTAGCCTTCTGAATTCTTTCCTTACCATGCTAGTTATTCTTTTCTGGTCATGTCAATCTTATTAACATGAAGAAAGAGGGGAAAATGCACTTTAACCATATGAGGTGGTTGTTAATTTGTTCTGCATTTGACCCACCTATGGTAATGACACTTTCCCACCTCAGAGATGGCCATTAAACATGTTACTCTCTTATTGCCCTTTGTTAAAAATGGTTTCTTGCTTTGAACCAAGAAGCATAAGAATAATTTATAAAACCATGAGATCCGTTATGTAGCTGAAAATTTCCCCAGTTAGGGTTTCTTTGCATTTTTTTTTTCTTGAATAACTCCACAATTTTCAACTCTTCTTTGGATGTCAGCATTGTAGTTGCTTCTAGGTATCTGAAGAGTTCATTGGCACGCTTTCAACCATTACAGAAGTTTGTTAGCAAATAAAGGCAGATGATTCATCTCAATGATTTGTCAAAATCCTAATCTCAAATAGTGAAAAAGGTTCAACAGAAAAAAAAAAAAACCTCGAACCATGCAATAAGACCAGTTCAGGACTGGTAAAGCGTTGAAATCGGGCCGTAAGCCCTCTACTATGCCTGGATCAGCCAAAAAGGGGCAGTCTGCATCCTGGTTCATGCCCAGACCAATAGATACCGGCTGATACATATTGGTTTGGGTTAAATCACATAAATATGAATCATTTGCAAGATGTTGGATAGTGCAAATAGACATATCAATTCATAAAATCACCACCAAAGATGTGCAATATGATAAACAGACTGCAATGAATGTTAGTAACTTGTTAAAATCACCAGCAAAGGATCAGAAATCAACGAATACTAGTGTCTAAATTCATAAGACATCATTTTCTGTCCATTTCTCTTTTTTAAAGAATGACGTTCTTTTATATTTATTGCTGCATTTTTAGTCATGCTTGAAATATTAGATGGAAGTATGGATTCTATAGCAATTACAATTGCATTTATCCTATTTGTGTTCTGCAGAAGCTACAGAGCTGCAACCCTCATGGTTTGAGGTCTGTGACACTACCTACTTAATTTGGTGTTTATAATTTTTAAAGCATTTTTTGAACCTGGGAAAATTTTGACTTCCATCATTGTAGACGATTGTGTCATAAATATGAGTTCTTAGCTGTTAATATTCGAATGAGCTTCTTGCTTTTCTGCATTTTCCTTTTGTTGAATCTTATGTAGATGCCTCTTGATGGATGCTGCTTTATAGTAAGATGAAACATTGTAAATGTGATCAGACGATCTGAGAGGAGCGTTATAAAACTCAACAATACAATAGCAGGTGAACCTGACATGAATCCAACATGAATTCAACCGGTCTGGGGTTGCTTTATTTGGATTTGCATCATAAACAAGTTGACCACCAAACCCTCTTGAGTTCCTGTCCCTGTTCGGGTCATTACTTTGGGTGATCCATAACTGAATGTGCAGATTGACTTGTTATGATTCAATGACCTGTATGACCTGAACAAACAAGTATTGACCTGTGTAGCGTGTTTAATGTATGTTTATTAAATAAATTTTATTTGAAACTCTGGACTACTATTTTTGGGCCAACTTTAGGTTGTAAGTAAAACAAGCTCCATTTGTGATTGACTTGAAGTCAAGTTTATCTGCCGAGAAGTCACATGATCCTTTGGAAGTGTTTTAGATGAACGAATAAGACTCTGGGTTTGAAGTCCTAACCAATTCCTTATATAGTGGGGTGGCATATTATGCTGATTTGTTCTTATTTGACAACAACCACAGTCCCTATATAGAATGTTCAGCTAGCACAATGTTTGGGTTAAACAGGTTGATCTCGTCTAATCTGACTTGTTTATTAATTTTGCAAACACATGTTGTGTCAACTAAATTACAAATAGGTTAGTTTAGGGTTCAAATGTTGATATGTTTAACTTAATGGTCTCATTGGGGTAGATCGTTGTTGTGTTTTATGTCGAGATCGACTCATCATGAACTTGACTTGGCTTGACATAACCACTGATGCCCCATCTTAGAGTGGAAGTCCTTAAAAGCTAAGGAACCATTGCATATTGTTTTTGTTTCTTGTTCCTAAAACAAAAAAAATGAAGACTGGGACATGAAATATGTTCGTGATTTGGTTTCCCCTTTTTCTATGAAACATTTCCATGCTGTGCTTTGGAAATATAAAAGGCAAAAAGGTAATTATAATATTTTAGTTAGTGATGACGGACGATGACGTCGTTGGGCACCACGGGTGGTTGTTGTGGATGAGGAGAACGGTGGCGAGAGATGAGGGCTGCTCGGCAACTTCGTCGATGACAAGTACAACGTACTCAGCGTCAAATTCTAAGGCCCACATTTTTCTATCGTCGTCGAATACATTTGCTAGGAGCTCGACAACCGCTCGCCTACCAGCCTTCCAAAGCTTTCTTTCCCGATTGACGACAACTGCGGTGAATACAACTCCTCCGATGAACCTCCCATCTCCCCTTTTTTATGCTCATGCCGGAATTGATGCAGTAGCGAGGGGAGCGGCAGGAGCTCCGACGGCCTCAACTTCGGGTCGAGTGATCTGCCCAACGGATCAGCGGCGAGGTGGTGACCATCTTCAACGTAGACGTCGCAATGACCACCACCATCTGCGTCAACGCTGACGTAGATGCTGAGCAACGCCGCTCGGCAACTGTGTCGGTGCCGACGCAAATGGTGGTGGTCGCCATGGCGTCCACGGCGAAGATGGTGGTCGCTTCGCCACTAACCTGTTGGGCAGATCGCTCGACCCGAAGCTGGGGTCACCGGAGCTCCTGTTGCTCCCTCCACTGTTGCGTTAGTTCCGGCATGGGTATGAAAAAGGGGAGATGGGGGGCTCGTCGAAGAAGTTCTATTCGCCACGGTTATCATCGACCGGGAAAGGAAGCTCTTGAAGGTTGGTAGACAAGCAGTTGTTGAGCTCCCGGTGAACATATCTAACGACGGTAGAAAAATGTGGGTCCCGGAATTCGAAGTTGAGTATGCCATCGTACTCATCGTTGACGCAGTTGTCGAGTGGGTCTCACCTCTCGTCGCCGCTCTCCTCATTCACAACAGCTACTCATGGACCCCAACGACGTTGTCATCCGCCACCACCAACGCCATTCGCCACCACAAATTGAAATGTTAAAATTACTTTTTTTGTCTTCTATTTTTGTGTTTCCATAAGTAAAACTGACGATGTTATGATAAATGGACTTATATGTTTCACTTTCGTAATTATAGATGCCAATGTAACTTTTTAAAGTGTAGAGACCGGATGTCAAAGGTAGCTAACTATAGAGGGTAATATGTAATTAGCCTTCTAAAACCTTCAAAGGCAAAATGTTTATGAGCTATGACCATCTGACTTGAAACCTTCCTAGTCCTATGCTTGAATGAAAAAAACATTCTGGACTAGAACTGTAAATGTCTAGCTGTGACCAGCAAACTCATTTTGATTTTACTTAGATAAGAAGCCAAAACTAAATCAAAATTTCTGGTTCTTATTCTCAAGGCACCAAAACAGAAATGAAGTCAAATTTGCTTTGATTTAGGATTTTATTTGGTTTTCGTATGCAGTTTATGATGTCAAAATTTGATTTGATTTAGGATTATAGTTGGTTTGAGTCTGCAGCTTATTTCTATTTCATTCTTCTTACAGCTCCTAACACCGTATATTCCACTGCCATCATGGCTGATCCAAACCATAACCAATTCTCGTATCTAGTTGCAGAGAACAAAATGCATTAGGATTTTACTCTCTATTACCAAATTAACATTGGAGTCATTAGACTCCCATGGTTGTTCTGACACAACAATTTGTGATGAACTACTCAAGCTAACTTCTATTGCTTATGGTTGAACTACTCAATCGCAGAATCTAAATATGTTTCTGGCAAGATAAAGAGTAATTAGTTAAAAGCCAGATAGTAATCTCCATATGGATCAGAGTCCAAAAAATGAACAAGCTCATTGGGTTAATGATTTACCTAAACCAAGAATAGACCATAATTGATTGGTGAGTTAGTTACCTAAAATTCTAGTTGCTATGTCTATTTCTATTCTTTTGTTAGACCTAAGATAAGCTATAGTCCGTGGTCATCAGTTTCCTTTTAACCGTGTGATTTGGTATGTATATAATTTTAACAAGCTATAAACCCTGTCTATTTGGGTTCAACATAATCAAGCTTACACATTTTTTTATTTATCTTTTGTAGGCTTGGCTTACGCTTGGTAGAGCACAGCTAAACTTTGGAGAACCTGATTCAGCAATTGAAAGTTTTGACAGGGCTCTAAAAATTAAGGTGAACACAACTATTTTATGGTTCATTTCCTTCAATAACAGTTTAGATATTTGTTTCCGACAGCTCTATCTCCATTGTAAATGATGCTGTCCGCAGCCGGACCATGAAGATGCACAGGCCGACCGTGTTACTGCACATCGTCTAGTGAAGAAGCGCAGACAATTGGAGGCATCAGGTTTGAAGGTTGCCGATAGTCGTTATAAGGTTGGAGATAAAGTTGAATCATGCTAACCTCCAGAAAATGACATTGCAAGAGATCCCAGTGTCACTTGTAAATTTACTGAAGACATTCATGCATGCAAGTCCCCAAGGATCTAAGGGGATTACAGGATATAGCAAACAGCTTTTCCAGTGAGGGAAACCTGAAAGAGCTTTGTCGAGTTGTATTCTGGTAGTGTCAAGCTTTTGCAGGGAGGAATATTTTGTACTTGCTCACAATTTGCTTGTTCCTGCAAAATTGATCTTTTCCTTATTCTTTTCTGGTTGAGGTGCAGCCAATCTTGGGCTTTCAATCAAAGATGATATGCAAATTTGCCTCAGCTGCTGAGTCTGCATCAAAGTCCAGCATGTTGCAGCTTATTTTTTCTCAGGTGATCAAACTAAAACATGTAGACAGTGGAAAGAGAGGAGGAAAGAATTATTCTTGGCTTAAATAACTGTTTCTCGGATGAGTTCTGTTCATGTCATGCGCAGCTTTTGCGCTTCGTGCGGGGTTCTGATGGGCAACATGAATGACACCTGGGAGAGAGGTGGACTGGTGCTTTAAGAATCGTTCTGGATCCAGATGGGCGGCGTTTTATTGGATGCTATCAATCAAGCCCGTGCCAAGTATGCATGTGTTCTGATGCGGGCGGGGGCTGCTAATTACATCCACACCCACATACATGAGGTTTCGGATCTTTAAAAGATCCGAACCCAACAAACCGGTCTGGTGATCTTCACTTTCTCCACCTGTTTGCATTAAAATTCGCGCAAGCATCCACCAAATCTGACTGATCGCGACAAAGTTTGTCACAGAATAAAAGTCCACAAGTCGCTTGGTTATTGGTCATCCTTATCCACCGTTCCTTTACGTATCTATTCCTACAAAATCGTAAAATAACATATTATCCTTCTCAATTTTTACATGGCATATATATATATCTCCTTCTAAATATTATTTCATCGAAAAATATTCATGTTAATTACTCCTAACAAATATATATATATATATATATATATATATATGCACACACGCACCACTGCAATTTTGGGTTGAATGCCCCAAAGAGAACAGGAAATGGATATAAAGCGCCAGTCGCCATCCCCGGCGGCGCCTCTTATGTGTGGATGGAAACGGCAGTGTCCCGCCCTCACGCTTCCCCTTCCACACCACCACAGAGAGAAGCCCCATAACACGCCGCGCGAGAGCCGAACACCCCCTTCCTTCTATCCACAACAATCCAATTCCAATTCCCTTTACCCCCTTCATCGATGGTGGTAGCGGTGGCGGTGGTGAATCTTGCGGCGATCGGTGCCTTGGAGCCGTGGAGTTGATCATCGCGATCTTTCTTTGTGTTCATTCAGGTAATTTGTTGGGATCGGATGCTAGTGGCCTGCGCTGGCGGAGGGCCCCTGAAGCCCTGCCTTGCATCCGGCGAGAAGAGCGGCGGCCGTGGCGGCCTTCTCGGGGTCTCCTCGGTGAAGCGCCGGTGGTGGAGGAAGACCGGACTCGATGAGGCTCCTCCTCGCTGTGCTGTCACCGCTCGAGCCCGGCTCTCTAATTTCTTCTCTTCCCCTTTTGGGTTGGATTCTCAGGTGCCGTTCGTTTTCTTCCGTAATGTTCGGGTCTTTGTTCTTCAGATTGGGTCCATCAGTACTCTCGTGTCCGATTTCTGCGAGAAGGTGGGAGTTAGTAACATGGAGCTAACTTTTTCCTGCCTAGTTCGATCCATCGCATCGAGGTCCTTGGACAGTTTTGGTCAACATCTTACTGGCGTTCTTGATTTTGATGTTGTTAATGTAGTGTATCAAGAACAATCTTGTAGTAAACCTTTGTGATGGGAAGATTAGCATCCAGTAATATCATATATGAGGAAGGAAAAGGTCAGATGGTTAGAGATATGTGATCGGTCACCTTATTCCTCCAATAACATGCTCTTTTTTGTTACGATGAAGAAAAAGGATGAACCTCTAGTTCAGGTGGATGCTTAACAGAAACTTCTTTGTTCACCTTTACCTATTAACCTTGTAGGAACTTTAATTCCTTAATCACATTTTTAACATTTCATTTAATAGCCTTCGGTCCATCCGCTTTTCAAATTGCTATGTTCTACCAGTATTTTACTGGTCATCCTTTCCGCAATGATCTTTGTCATACATGCATAAGCTTTCTTACTTTCTTAGGACAGAGTAGAAGGTTGATAACATATTTGAGATTGTGCTCACCTTGGTGGCCATGATACAACCTTAATTTTTTAATTTCTCGACCTTCCATGCTTGTGATACATCTCGATTGTTGTGGACTGGTCCTGTACCTATTGCCTTTGCTGAATATCCTTATTTTCAAATTGTAGACCTCCCAAACTCAAGATGTATCCCAATTGCTGTGGATTGGCCCTGTACCTGGTGACATTGCTGAAGTGGAAGCATACTGTAGGATCTTTAGAGCTGCAGAGCAACTGCATTCTGCTATAATGAATACATTATGCAACCCAGAAACTGGAGAGTGTGCTGTTCCATATGACATCCCGTCTGAGGATGTGCCACTGTTGGAAGACAAGGTAGTTGCTATACTTGGCTGCATGTTAGCATTGCTAAATAGAGGTAGAGAAGATGTCCTGTCAGGTAGGGCATCCTTTGTGAATTCATTTCAGGCCTCAGATGTGAATAGTTTGGATGGCAAGCTTCCTCCACTTGCTGTTTTCAGAGGTGAAATGAAAAGGTGCTCTGAGAGTTTGCAAGTTGCACTTGCAAATTATTTGGCAATTTCTGATAGCCACAGCACTGATATCTGGAGGCGACTGCAAAGGTTAAAGAATGCTTGTTATGATGCTGGATTTTCACGATCTGATGGCTATCCTTGTCCAACAATATTTGCCAATTGGTGTCCTGTCTACTTCTCCACTATAAAAGAAGACAATGTTCCAGAAGATTCTGAAGTAGCATTTTGGCGGGGTGGTCAGGTGACAGATGAAGGTTTGGCCTGGTTATTAGAGAAGGGATTTAAAACAATTGTAGATCTGAGGGAAGAGGTTGTCAAGGATGAATACTACCTGACTGCTATTAAGAAGGCTGTTTCACGAGGAAAGATCGAGTTAGTAAATTTGCCAGTTGAAGTTGGAACTGCTCCTTTGATGGAACAAGTTGAGCAGTTTGCTATGTTGGTAGGGGATCCAAATAGAAGACCAATTTATCTGCATAGCAGAGAAGGGGTTGGCAGAACTTCTGCTATGGTTTCAAGATGGAGGCAGTATGTAACACGATCCTCTGTGCAGTCTGTTTCAACCCACCAGCTTAACCTGAATGGAAAACCTTGGAAACATGCAACGGAAGAGGGAAGCCAAAAGCTGCAGAATTCCATCTCATCAGAATATAGTGAAGGAATATCTTTGGAAGATGACATCATTTCACAGTCTTTTTCAGATGCATCTCCAAGTACTTTAGAAACTCAACATCAGAATGAAAAAATGAATTCCAAGCCTGCTTTAGTGGATAGCTCCCTACCAAAACATGATATTAATGCAGGTCAATGTTCAAACTTCTCTACAGGAAGTGATCCATTGAAGTCACAGTTTCCTACTTGCAATATTTTCTCCCGGAAAGAAGTCACTGAGTATTTTAGAAGTAGAGAAATTTCTCCTAAAACTTATGTTATTAAATTGCAGAAAAGATCCGAACCATTGTCTATTACAGGGGAGTCATACAAATTGCTGGGTCAAAGTAATGGAACCTTGATGGAATCCAAGTTATCAGGTCAAACACAGTCAGAAAAATCAAAGGAGAAACCAAGTGATGGTTATCTCAATCTTGGGGTCAACCCTAGTAGTTTTACAAATGGAAAACTTAGCAAAAATGTTAATACTGCAACTTTTGATGTAAATGTGAATGGTTATCATAAATTGGGAGACAATGACACTACTGAGCCTAGTGTTAACAATTTGAGCACTAACTTCGGTGGGCAGGCTTTTTCTATCACCTCAGGAGAAGGCAAAAAGAAGAATGCTAAAAGTTCTATGGAGTTAGAGAGTGATAGTTTGGCTCTTGTTGGGGGAGACATGTGTGCTTCGACTACTGGCGTCGTCAGAATTCAATCAAGAAGGAAAGCTGAAATGTTTTTGGTTCGTACTGATGGGTTTTCTTGCACCAGAGAAAAGGTAACAGAGTCCTCTTTGGCTTTTACACATCCAAGTACCCAGCAACAGATGCTCATGTGGAAGTCTCCTCCGAAGACCGCATTACTGTTGAAAAAGTTAGGGAAGGCGCTCATGGAAGAAGCCAAAGAGGTATGTGTCAACACTTTTATTTTGTTTCTATTGGCAAAGTGTGTGCTTATATTTTGACTGGTTGACCTTTTGGTTAAAAAATGATAGAAAAGGACAATATACAGAGATTGAAAAAAGAAATATCCATGTAAATTATGAATGCAAATCTCAATTATCAACTGCATAATGAATCATATGGCAGTAATCAGCCGTGTAAATAAATCTTTTACCTTAAATTTGACAATGGTATTGGAGGGCTGCAAGATGTGGTGATTATACTAGTCCTTGGTGCACTAAAATTAGTAACCAGCTAATAATATAATTGTTCAATCTGCAATATACAAGTGTTCAATGAGCCAACATATTTTTCTATTCAGAATTAGTTCCCAGTGGTGTAATGGTTCACGGTCAACAAACCTTTCTTTTGAATGTTGTGAGCAAGGTTTGTAATTTCATACCATACTAATGTTTCGAGCTTTGGTTGATACGGTATGGTACAGGTGTATTGAGTGAGATATATATATATATATATATATATATATATATATATATATATATATATATATATATATATAATAAAAAAAGGAGGCGTATCAGCAACGTCACCTCCTTTTCTTCTCCTCGTCGCATATATATATATATATATATATATATATATATATATATATATATAATAAAAAAAAGGAGGCGTATCAGCAACGTCACCTCCTTTTCTTCTCCTCGTCACATCAGATGAGGAGAAGATGTGATCTTCTCCTCATTTGTGGCGTTCGACGAAGACATTGAAGGCTGCAGACGTCTCTAGCGTCTTTGGCCTTTGGCAAGAATAAGGTGAAGAAGAAGCCGAGTCGCCACCTCTCCGTTACCTCCTAGATCGAGATCATCGAGGGAGGGCGGCGCCGGATTGGGAAGCGTCGAGGTTCTCTCGATTCTCTCTCTTCTTTGAGCGACTTCTCCCTTGACGTTTCTTCTTCCTCACTGCAGTTGGGTTTATACCGTCGGGTTGCGGGCGACGGCGGTCGAAATCGACCGTTACCACCCGATACAGCCCCGTATCGGACGATACGGGGCTGGATCAACGATACCGCCCGGTAGCGAGCGGTTCGCATACCAATCTGCTGGCGGACTGGTACCGGGCGGTATCATTCGAAATTAAAATCCTTAGTTGCGAGGAATCATCATGGTATTTCAGTTGACCTTTCCCTAAATGCCTAAACACAATAAACAAAACTTGACAAGCAAATGAAACTCAGATAGAGCATGCCTTTTTATGTTTGTTACCTGAAGATAACCATTATTTTAGAATCAAATAAAAATGAACCTACAGTTAGAGATTGGATTATTAAAACCCATTTTAATTATCCGATTAAAAATGTCTTAAGCAAATGAGAACTTCTTTCTGGAGATCTGGCCTTTCTTTATTCAGATATGCATTAATAGTTTCATCAATTTATATGTCTCAAATTTCTATGGACACATCAAGCAAATTGGGTTGATATTGCTGTTCGTGCAAAGTATTAAAATGGGCTTCATTTATTTGGTATAGCTTTACAAACAATAAAATCCCTGTTTATAATAGAAAAAAGTAAATCATATTCTCTTGCATGTAAAACATGCATGCAAGTAGGTCTGTAAACAGATTAGATATGGATTAGATCAGTATAACAGCCAACTGATCATTGGATCGTCCAGATTCTATTCTTATCTGATTTGGTTGACATTGAGAGCTCTGATCTGGTTTTTATGAAGATAGAACTAGAGAATAAATTTTGAAGGAAGATGGAAGGTTGGCTGGGTGACCAACCCGAGAATAAATTACACAATGGTAAGGTTGCTCATTTGCAGCCTGGGTGACCAATGTTCGAGTTATGATCTCTTTGTAGGTACGTCGACCCTTCCTCAAGATCCTATATTAGCAGGAGTCTCGTATAGTGCTTTAGATAAGGAGGTTGACGTCATAATGGTTGCATTTCTTTGGATAAGGATGAGCTGGTGGGAAAGTCAGGAGCCACAGTGGAGCTAGAGAGGAAGAGAGAGGATGGAAAATTAATCGAGTGCTATAAGAGAGATGCCAGCAACCTCTAACAATTGGCTTCATGTAGCAGTTATGCAGGGTTGAGGTCAAAGCTCAAGGAGCCATGGGGTACAGGAACCTGGCGTGAATTGCATGTGATTGGTGTCAGGAGGGACACTTCCTACCTTGAACAATTGCATGTGACTGGAAGGAGTTGGGAAGAGGGGTGCTCACATCTTTTATCGCATAGTTGCATGCAAGCATGGGTTTGTTCTCTAGTTGTCACTACCATTAGAATTACCAATATATATTTAGCATTTGTTAATACATGGGGGTCGATACCAATGTTTGCCCTCTTTGTAGTTTGTACTGACCAGGTGTATTGGTCCTTGGCCAGACCAGTACATACCAGTTAGTTCTAGTGCACGGTATGTCAGTACACCAATGGGTACCAACAAATCAAAAATTTCGTTAAAAAATCAGCCATAATTGAATTAAAAACCTATTTTCTGGTTTTTTTTCTCCATATTTATTGGTGTATAAATTAAATTGAAATAAGAATAAAGCATATCTAAGCCATAGATGATTAAAAATTCTAGACTATAGGTATCAAAAATTGAAATTCTTATCTTTTCAAACTTGTCGAGGAAGAACTTTGTCGCACAGTCCTCCATTTAAGCTGATTAGGAAGATCAAACACATTTAAGCCTCTAAGTTGACAGAAAGAGTGAGAATGAAGGGAGCTTGAGAGTGAGTGTAAGAGGAGACAGGAAGGGGCTTTTATAAGCCCAATAAAGCTCCCATTGGTCAAATTGACCATTGGGGGCTGAAATGGTCAGCTTGATACTGATAGAAATCCAGTTGGTAATGGTACAAAATGGGCTGGTACACATTCGGCCAGCCTTGGACCGATGCATATCGTCCATTTCATACCACTTTGGGTGATACAGTAGTCCTTGGTTGTACTAATTTTTGACATTTCAAGCATATTAAATCTCAACGGAAGCTGATATGATTTATAAAGAATGCATTAGTGATATATCCATAGAGGCCTCTGGCAATATGGCTTGAAGATCAAACCTTCAGGTTAAGATTGAGCAGCATTCACCTATTGTTATTGAAGAGTTTGCTATAACTTACTCTTAATAACTCTTGCAATACTAAATACTTAAGAATACATTGTTTTCAATAGTTACAGATATTTTTTAATGTTTTATAGCTGATGATGATTATTGATGAAACAGAGTGCTTAATTATGAAAAAACATTGAATTATAAGAACTAAAATTCCTGATGATTTAGTTTCTAATAATACATGTAAAACAGGCACAAAAATGAAATTTCTCAATAAAAACTGAAAACTTCTTAAGTTCTTAGTAACCGAAGCATCCATCTATATTCTATATTTTCAGGTGTTTAACACAGATTAATATGGGACTAGGAGTTCTTCCAAGTAGTTTAATATCGTGAGTTCCCTGATCTCTGGATTTATTTGTCGAAAGATTCAATTCACTTGTAATGTTATGATGGCATGTTTTATTCAACTGTTAATGAATTTAACACTCGTATCTACTCAGCTTCCATTTTGAATATGCTTTTATATAAAAAATTCGTGTGTTGTTGTTGCAGTAGATATTTTGTTAAATATTTTAAGTCAGAATTCTATTTTTCAGCCATACCTTCCTATGTACTACTACTGTTGCACTTTGTCTTTTTGTCTATAATCTATTTTATACTGCTTGGGATATTCAGGTTGCTTCTTTTCTGTATTATCAAGAGAAAATGAATGTTCTTGTTGAGCCTGATGTGCATGATATATTTGCAAGGATCCCAGGTTTTGGTTTCATACAAACCTTCTATAATCAAAATTCCAGGTACCGAACACTATGCAAATATATGACAAGGCATATAGATGTTTACATTTCTTTCTCGTTAGTGCAGTGACCTTCATGAGAGAGTTGATTTTGTGGTATGTTTGGGAGGTGATGGTGTCATTCTGCATGCTTCAAACTTATTCAGAGGTGCAGTCCCTCCTGTTGTCTCCTTTAATTTGGGATCCCTTGGATTCCTCACATCACATACTGTATGTCCTTCCTCCACTTGATATGATGTGTTCTTCTTAGGATGCCCAATTTTATAATGAGCTTCTATTGTATTCTCTTGCAGTTTGAGGAGTACAGGAAGGACTTGAGGGCGGTCATCCATGGGAACAACACACTAGGAGTCTATATAACTCTTCGAATGCGTTTACGATGTGAACTATTTCGTAATGGAAAAGCAGTACCCGGAAAAGTGTTTGATGTTCTGAATGAAGTAGTAGTTGACCGTGGTTCTAACCCGTATCTTTGCAAAGTCGAGTGCTATGAGCATAATCATCTAATAACTAAAGTATGATACATTTTGTACATAATTCAACTTATTAAATTTGAATGCCCTTAGTTCTAAGTTTTTGCATTTTCACATTCTTATTGCTTATGTGGTTGGCTTAAGCTGTCTTCCTTGACTTTATCATCAGTTGCTCATCTATGCACGTTAAAAGATTTGTTTGCTTATTTTGGATATTTTTATGTGATCTGGCCTGCTGCTAAGCAGACTATCATAAATCCATGATATATAGAAAATAATCTATGCTCATAGCTCTAATTTCTATTTTATATTATGATTTATTGAAAAATTATTATTATTATCATAGTCAACTTGTATTTCTCTCATGTTTCTTCTTCCTTGCCTGATTAGTTCTGAATACATCGCTTTTGTTTGCATCTTATTTTATGTGGTATGAGAAATGTTCTTGTTTATGTTATGTTAATTTTTCTTCATCTATCATTTAGCGTCCCTTAAATGAAGTTCAGATTCAAGGTTCATTTACTTAATTTAAAACACACCCACCTTGTTAGTTCCAATGATTAGACAAAGTGATGGCTTTTCGAGCTAATGCTGATAAGCAACTGTCTTTCGTTGTGATGTTGTGTTTGTTGGATTCTGTGATCATCCTCTGAAAAATCCATGTCAGAAAGTTCTTCTAACTTTTGTTTGGTTTTTTAAATATTTTCAGGTACAAGGTGATGGGGTTATAGTAGCAACGCCCACTGGGAGCACAGCATACTCAACAGCTGCTGGAGGATCTATGGTTTGTAAACATGTCCATTTGTTTAAATTAGAATTGATTTTACTTAATTGACATGGAGAATGGAGATAAGTTTTTCCTGATTCCAATTTTATGTTTTGTGTTATTATTTTCGATTACTTTCTGAAGTTGACCAATGAAGTTTGCAATGTGTCACCATTTTAAATTGGTTTTCTTCGAATCTCAGTATGTGAGCAGGCCCTAATGTGTGGTCTAAAATATGTGGCTCATGTATATGGTTTTACAAGTGTCCACAACACCAGCTTATAATATCAGTACACCTCGGTAATTAATTTTGAAATACAATATCAGATTTATTGTATTAGCTTTCCTCTGAAGTCCCTAATGATGAAAATTTGAGTAATCTTTGCAAGTTTTTTCCAGTGCAGTGTATGTTGTCTTAGCTTGCCTGCCAATTTTTGGCATCAGGTCCTCTTGCTGTAGCAGTATTCCTCTATTTTGCATGTAATTATATTTAGAATAAGAATATTGTACTGAAATACGTTTGTTGCCTGCTTAGATCATCACAGTATATGCTTTGCCTGGATGACAAGAGAATGCTCAGATGTTGATGTGGTTTTTCCTTTAGCTATCCTTGTTTGATTTATTGTACTGTAAAACTCAAACGTCACATCACCAATTTCATGGCACCTGTCTACTGCATTTAACATCATCAATTTTTACATTTAAAATAGTCGAAATGAAGGTAGCAACATATCTTTATGCTGGCTAGAGAGATTTGTTTTAATTAATTGCTTTATGTTGATCAAATTTTTATCATTTTTCTCATTCAATATAAACTACAGATATAATAAATCATTTATCAGATCAGCTTTGTCTAGGTCTTCCTGATTACCGACTGCATTTGGATTCTCCGGTCTTCAGATGTTACCTAGTTGTGAACTTAAAACTTTATCAATTCTTAGTAATTACCAGATCATATGCCTCCTGCATAATAGCAAGATTAACCTATTTACCTTTTAGAATTGGAGGTCATATAAAGATATAGCCACTTGACTTTCTAAATGCTAGTTTTGGATTTCATTATAATTAGAAACTACGAGATGCAAACCCAATGTAAGCTATTGCAGATTTATGGTTTGTTATTCTTTGAGGTCCTTTGTAGTGTAAACACTTGTTATTCACTTTTGTTAGTTTTAACTCACATTCAAGAGTCAATTGTTTGTGGTGCTTGTCTTGAATTTTGACACTGATATGATATTACATGTTTTATGAGATATCTGTAATATCTTGCAGGTTCACCCTAATGTTCCATGCATGCTATTTACTCCAATCTGCCCACATTCTCTGTCATTTAGACCTGTCATACTTCCTGATTCTGCACAGCTTGAGATGAAGGTCAGGCTGCTCATTCTGTGTCCATAGACATTGTCTCATCATTCTCTTATTTTGTTTAGCATCTGAAGATGTGTTATAGATTTAAGCTATCTCAGCTTTGATGCAAATAGCTTATCTTCTTTTGTTTAGCATCTAAGATAAAAATATAGTTACTACAGCTAAATTTACTCATTTCATATATATATTACGAAATACCTTCTCATTTCATAATGTATTGTTAATGACCCTACTTGGTTTTTTTTTCAGTACATGCATAAATATATATATTTATCTGTCTTTCTGCTATTTGCCCTGTTGGAAAATGTTGACATCTTACCACATGATTGTCAAGGTGCACATTAAGCTTTTTAACCCTCCACTTCATGAGATTATGGCTTGTTGATTGCAATGTTTATTATTTATTTAATTTGACAAATGAATTACATGTAAATTTTTTATTACTGATATTTGTTTTCATGCATAATTTAACCTTTATTACTTGCATTTCAAACTTATTTTAGGATCTACACCAAATTAAACTTATTTCAAACTTATTTCATAAAAAAAAAACAATTAGGATTCTCAATTTGGACATATGGTTTTACTAGAGAAAGGTAGAATGAGAAATGCTTTCTTCATAAGCAATTTGGCAAAACAAGAAAAAAAATCATTTAAAACGATGTAGTGTGTCAAAGGAAATCTAGAGTTTTCATGGTTAAACTTAGTAAAGTCAATCAAGATTAGTGGGACAAAAGAGGTAGAGACTAACATCAAAAGAAAACTTTACTAGAGATAATAAAGGGAAATTTGATTGCTCTTGATTTGAATAAGGATAACTTTCTACACAGAGTTACGATGGTAAAAAAAGATTTATGTAGCTAACCCCTATAGTTGGGGCATCATAGCTGCTTCTTGTACTTATAGCTGGAGGCTAAATGCAAGAAATTTATAGTAGATAATATGTTATCATAAGCAAGGGATGCAATATCGTACCGTACCGATGTTTCGAGGTTGGTTCGGTACGGTATGGTACCGGCATACCGAGCGGTACACTAGGGTATACCGAACGGTACACCAGCACTATAGCGCTGCTACAGTATACACTGTAGCACTATAGCACGGTCCATCCGGTAGCGGGCGGTTCGCGAATCGGTAGCCTATCGGACCGGTATGTACCGCCCGTACCGGACGGTACGATTCGATATGGCAGACCTTCATAAGAACTAAGTCACATGCATTTGTTGTTACATATTTTGCTTTTCATATGACATAGTGGATGTAAAATGTATTCAGGCGCCTCATTGCAATGTATCAATCATATAGCCAATTGTCATCCAACTTGGTTCCATAGGCCTCACTAAATTGTGTAATTATAACTCAATAAATATGACTTTTACTGCATCAATATATCTACATCAATTACTAAGCACATATCTGTGTAGATGATTCCACTTGTGCGAGGATTGCCATTGTGCTGTGCCAGAAGGCTTGCTCTTGTGCTGCTATATGTTGACACTTGTACAGATTTGTATAGCATGTCTTGGTTACCACTTCACCTGTATCACAAAATGCTGATTGGCATGGCAATTGTTGCTAGTGTGAACCATCTTTCACAAGAGCTTTAGTTGATAGGTATATTTCTCATTGGATATGGGCCATAAGAAAATCAAGGTCACATCTTCAACCGTCTTGGCATTCCAAGCTCTTAATGCAGGCCAGAGACTGTAAAGATCTTCTCAAAAGCTAATGCACCAGCTCTTTTGAAAGCTGTAATTGTTAAATCATGAAATAAAGGCAGAAGCATCTTGTTTTGTTTGAGTTTATGCATCATCTTGACATTTCCTAAAGGTACAATGAGTTTTATTGGACTTACTGTGCATCCTCCTTTCTAGGCATCGATACAATTAAGATTTTGTGCATTTTGTGTTGCAGTCTTCATCCACCAACTATTTGATATAGTTATTCCCGACTGAATTATGACTGCTGCCTTTCCAGATTCCAGATGATGCGAGAAGCAACGCATGGGTTTCTTTTGATGGCAAAAGGAGACAACAACTATCTAAAGGAGATTCCATTCGCATAGCAATGAGTCAGCACCCACTTCCAACTGTAAATAAATCTGATCAGACTGGCGATTGGTTCCGTAGCCTGATCAGGTGCTTAAATTGGAACGAGAGACTCGATCAGAAGGCACTATGATGGTCACATACCAAACTGCTCCCCTGTCGCTTACATCTCTGTACAGTACTATACTTCAAATACCAAGTTGAGTGAGCTACCCAACAACCTCAACTTCATCCAAATAAGGTTGATGAAGTATGTCCCTTGATCTATAGGCAAGAGATGTCCAAGATGGTTGTGTGGTTGTGATTACCATGAATCATCATCATTTGAACCGTTTCCCATGAACATGGTGTTGCTTAAAGAGTAGAGCTCAGTGCTGATGACCCCATGGAGATTTCACCGAATTCTACATCAGGCTATGGACAAAATTGAAGTCCTCAAAAATCGATATCAATTACCTGGCCAAGATCTCATTCGATGAGGCAGGGTCTCCGTGTTAGGCTGGATGAAGACATGGATACTGGAAAGTGGTGCTTGCTTGGTCTCTTGAGTCTGCTGATAATTCTGGAAGTTTTCTTCTATACACCAAGAACTGTATCTTTTAGTTTATCCTTTGAACAGTATATACAAGCATGAAATAGAAATGTTGTGCAGCAGTTAATACCAGTTCTTCTGTATCCGACATATAACAACTCATGATCTTTGAGTACATGCCTATGCTTTCCATTTACTACATAAATGTAACCCATACAACATAAATATAACCCAACAGCTTGTCTTTTTGTGCAGTATGTATCATCTTCCTTTGTATTTCCTTAGAGCAGTGTCTCGTGTTCTCGGTTTTGAAGAAGGATCACAACTGCAGATCCAGTCTCATTCATCAGAAGGTGAAGATAGAATGAGATCAGCAGTATACAGAGATCGGGTCCCCAGAGCCATGTAGGTGGTGCATTCTCCATCCTCAATGGTTCTCACTGCCTCAAACCTCACCATGGCAGGTACTTACTTATTCCTTAATATGAACACAATTTTTTCTATGTCTTTATTGTGTATGAATTTATAATTCCTTTTATCCATGAGAAGAAAAGAAGTGGAATGTTTTCATTCTATTATAGCCAATTGAGTTAAAGAATTCTGTTAGATAATATGATTTCAATCATGGTTGCCGATCCCCTAAATTTATGAGAATGTTTTCATTCTATCAGTATGTAGGATACATAAATGATTTTGTTCACAGCATGTTCATCAACTATGTATGACCTTATATATTGTTCTTTAAATTATACCCCAACTTGGCACACTTATCAGATCACCATAGATTGATATTTTTTTAATTAAAATCGATTCGATTCAATCCGATCAATTAACCAAATTGAAAAGAGTATCCTCTCTAACTTGAATCGATTCGATTCAAAACTAAATTATTGATGGACTGATTGGAGGATTCAGATTTAATTTAAGCACCACTACTTTATATGAAGAAAAGAATTGACCACTAATTTATATGAACAAAGAAAATAGGGAAAGAATTGTTGACTGGTGTAACAAAGCGGTCAAATCTTGAATTCCAATTGTCAATCCCATCTTTGACCACAAGTAGTGTGCATCTTAAAAAGAAGAGTAAGAATGAGAACCAAACCCACTTCTTGTTCTTCTCGCAGTAATCTCCAGTGTCCTGGGATGGGCACGGATGCCAGTAGGGAAGAGGAGCACTGCATGTAAGTAAACTAAACTATCCTCTCTCTCTCTCTCTCTCTCTCTCTCTCTCTCTCTCTTGGCAATAGAAGGATCTGATGTAGAATTCTTGGGACTTGCTCTCATGGCCAAAAGGTTCGAGACAAGCCATGTCTTGGGGGCACTCCTGGCGGCCTCCCCGCTGCTGGCACAGTCCTGGAGTCACTGCACGCACGCCAATGCCAGCAACTCGAGCTTCGTCGTCGAACACCACGACGACACGGTCTACGTCGCCTTCTCTGGGACGCAGACCAGCGCTCTGTCATCGTCGGTGGCCGGAGGCCTCGGTGGCGAACTCTTCGGCCCGGTTCCTATCTCCACCGGCGGCGGGCAGGAGCTATTTGCGCCACTGGTAGGAGGCAAGGGGGACGACGCGCAGCCGGTGCTCGTCCAGGCCGCCGCTCTCCACCTGTTTCTCTCCTTGTACAACAGCTCTGAGTTCCAGGTGAGCTCGTCACTATCCTAGTACGATTAATTCACTATTTCTGAGTTGAGAATTCTTCTGTTAGGTTCTCAATTCATAATTGGGATCCAGAGAACCATTAATGAGATATGCAAGGACTCTCTTTTCTTGAGTCAACAATCACAGCATGCATAATTGGGATCCAATTATGAGTTGAGAATTCTTCTGTTAGGTTCTCAATGCATAATTGGTATCCAGAGAACCATTGATGAGATACAAGGAATCCCTTTTCTTGAGTCAACAATCACAGCATGCATGTTCTATAAAGTCAAACCTTATGAGGTGATTCTGAATTCCAAGTCTAACATCATGAATTCTTCTGATATGGAAGATGGCTTTAGCCATGGATGGCATCCTCATCGTTCTTTTGCAAAGCCAAATTACATGGTGAAGAAGATAGACAGGTGAGGCATCCTGTGGTGAAAAGCTCAGTCAACAAGACTGGCAAGACCCAAAAGTTCTGGTCAAAAATGGCTTCTCCACCAAAACAAATGCTCCCAGTGGATGTTGTTCTTGGTGTGAAAGGTGTTTATGATGACACTCGATCCAAATTTGACCCTCCTTTCCCAACAAAATAAGTTTGTCATGATTTCAGTTTGTCTGCATGAAGACATTGACTGTGATCTCAGGGTCAACGCCAGTGGCCATGGTGGTTGATTCCCTTCTACACCAGCACATGATCTTGTTGTGTTCTTTGGATTTTGTTTGGTGCTAAGCACCAATCGTAGTTGACGTGGCTTCTGATCTTTTCTTTCTTCTGCCATGGCCAGCTGCTGGTGTCGGAGACCAGAAGCAAGTCGGTGGTGCTCACCGGCCACTCCATGGGAGGTTGCGTCGCCTCCCTCGTCGCCCTTCATTTCCTCTGCTCCTCCTCTGGTTCCAGTTCCCCGTCACCTGCTTCCCTCCTCTGCATCACATTTGGGAGCCCGCTGCTTGGAGACGACGCCCTGTCGCGGGCGGTTCTGCGAGAGCGATGGAGCGGGAGGTTCTGCCATGTCGTCGCGCAGCACGACATCATGCCGAGGCTGCTCCTCTGCCCTGTGAACTCCATGCCGCCTCGTCTGGTGACCTCGGTCTACGATCTGATGCAGTCATGGCACTTCGCCGTGCGGTATCCTGGGTTCTCGAGGCCTTCGTTTCGGTTGTCCGATGACCAGAGAACGGAGTTGCATCGGTTCATCGGAATGCACGTCGCAGCGGCGGAGCAGCAGCAGATAAGCCCTTATCGCCCGTTTGGGAACCACGCGTTGTGCTCAGCAGAGGGCGCAGCGTGCATCGATGACCCGTTCATGGTGGTGAAGCTGCTTCACCTCACGTTCATGGTGGATCCTGGGAGTAGCAGCATCGAGGAGCAGCATATCTCGTATGGGGATCTCGTAGCGGAGATCTCACAGAATGTCCTCTCGAAGAAGCGCATCCACGTCGAAGAAGAGCCGACAAGATCATCTGGCTATAGCGCCGGGGTGTCGATGGCATTGGAGGCATCAGGGATCCGAATCCAGGTAGACGACTGCTCTGTGCTCTTCATCGTCTTCCTCGTATTTCCTCTGTCCGTGTTGAGCTTCTGAGACGACGACAGGACATGGGTGCGGTGGAGGCTCGAGAGTGCCTGGAGACGAGGATGTGGCGGCGGCCGAACATGAACTGCGCCAGTCTCGCCATCAAGCTGGCCAAGGTGACGCCATGCCGCGCCCAGATCGAGTGGTACAAGACGCTGTGCGACGACGACATGGGCTACTACGACTGCTTCAAGCACCGGAAGGCCGCCAAGAGGGACGCCAAGGTGAACATGAACCGCATCAAGCTCGGCCATTTCTGGGACGGCCTCCTCGCCAAGCTCCAGGACAACGAGCTCCCCCACGACTTCCACAAGCGGAGCAAGTGGGTGAACGCGGCGCAGTTCTACAAGCTCCTCGTGGAGCCCCTCGACATCGCGGAGTACTACCGGTGCAAGCTGCACGAGACCAGAGGCCATTACCTGCCCCATGGACGGGAGAGGAGGTACGAGGTGTTCGACAGGTGGTGGAACGAGGGGAAGGAGGAGGTCCGGGAGGCGGCGACTTGGAAGAAGAGGAGGAGCAAGTTTGCGGGGCTGACGCAGGACTCCTGCTTCTGGGCGAAGGTGGAGGAGGCGAGGGAATGCGTGAAGAGAGCTCGGGCGGAGAAGAACCCCGCGAAGCTGGTGAAGCTCTGGGAGAGCATCAATGGCTTCGAGAGCTTCGCGAATCGGCTGATGGAGAGGAAAGAGGTGTCGGTGGACGTAATGGCGCCGCGATCGAGCTACAGCTTGTGGGTGGAGGAAGTGAAGGAACTGAAGCTGAAGCAGGCGTGCTCTGTTTCTTCCTCCTCTGGTTTGGTTGGAGTAAGCGGAGGAGGGCACGTAGAGAGCGATGAGCTTAAAGAGCTCCATTACTGATCTCAAGCTTACAGTCCATCAATTCTGCTGCAACAACAACAACAACATCAACAACAAGAAGAGCTTCTGATGTTATTGATGTATGTGTTTTGTTAATGAAAACTGAGTCTGAAAGAGGATGTAGTATTTGACTGCTAAAAGAAACAATAAATATTTGACATCATATCAGAAAAAGACCAAAAAAAAAGGAAAGTATTTCTTATGTCTTTGTTAGATCTTCTCATATCATATGATCTACCTTTCATCTCACAGAGGGGCAGATATTGATCCCAAGGCAGTGTAATTACACTTGGGAAAGTATCCACAAATCACACACTATTTGTCTTCTTTTGCAGAACCACTTGGACCTTCTTCTTGGCTGAAGCTGATGCATGATCATGATATTGGACAATTCAAAGACAGAATCAATAAAGATGATGATTCCCTTGTAATATAATTTGAGATTGAGATGCTTGATGCTCATCACCTTGCCTTTTGAAGGACAACTGAAAGCTTCTCTTTTTTTCTTATGCTCTTATTCTTGTTGGCCAGGTTTGCACAAGTTTTGTTTGATGACTCCACTGACTTCTTTTCCTCCCCCTCCCCCCCCCAAAAACACACAACCAAGGAGAAGGAGATAGATATGAGCTAAACAAAGCAGAAAGGCTCAGATGGCAACAAAGAACAGTGGAGATTTACATCTGAGAGATTACTCCTCACTCACTATCTCTGTAAACTAAAAAAAAAATTCTCATTCAGGTTAAATCACATACCAAATGGGCCATTTAGGCATTCCCATGTAGTCCCCCATATTCCATCATGCATCACATGAAAAGGCAGCAAATTCTGAAGGACCACACTAAATGTCCAATGTTATCAAACATCAAAGTATAATTTCATGTAATTGATGAGACACATCACATGTTCCTACCTAATTTTAGGTATGGTGGTCAACACCTAGTAAAGAAAACTAGGTACCCTACACATCAGGGCACCAATTCCTTGCCTATATATATGCAAATTAAATAATTAGATGTTTTCTTCTTTTTTTTTCATTCATGTTGAAGGAGCTATCAATAGGAGATTAACCTTCACCAACACTAGTGACCATTATTTATGATGCACACCTCAAAAAAATTATTGTGGAATAAATTGACACCATTGTGAGTGCAGGCATTCATTCATCTCCACTTGTTGATTTCCTGCATGAACATGAACATGAACCTGAACCTTCTTCACCTTCACCTTCCCAATAAAGTCATTTTTTTCAGCCAAAAAAGTTGTTCAAACCTCTGTGTGCTCCCCACCTCCAAAGTGGCATGAAGAATGGTGAAGTGAAATGTATGAGAACATATCATATATTTTATCATATCTTTTTGGGTCCTTCATCCATCATCATTGTCTACTTTAGCTTCTGCTCCTCCAAAGTGCCATAAGAAATGGTGAAATGCTTGAGGACATATCCACAACTACTCTGATTCACTTGCAGCTTGTCCACTCAATTCTAATCATGAATCTGTTTGCTTTTGATAATATAGAAATATACTTCCAACCTTTTGCCAAATGTATCAAAACCAAGGAAGAAGAATCAGACAAAGTGTTACAACAAATCAATTGGTTCATTCTTGATTGTTATCATGTCCTTGTGCTCTCTATGAGCTTGACTCATGAATTAGGTTGGTTGAAATAGTAAACAACATCTCATTACACTAAAGGAGAAAAAAAAATGACACACACATATATATGGTCACATTATTAGAAAATTTGAGTCTCATATAATGTCATATGTTAAAATAGATAATTATATATTAGGGATTATAGTTTTGAGATATAGGTATAATATCTTATACCTAATTTATTATTTTAAAGTTAAAATATTAGTCTAATAGTAGTGTACAAGATCTATTTATTTGAGACTTTATCTGATTTAATGGTGTATTTACAAATTCATTTAATATTTTTTTTGTGAATGTAAGCTAACTTAGCTAATAAGACTTTTACCATTGATAGACAATCAGATAATGGGATTGAATCTAATCTTCACCTCAAACATATGCAAAAATAAATAAATAAAGATTATTCAGCATTTGTATGATTATAAGTAGATTATATTCAACAAATTGAGATTAGAAATCATGTCTTATTTATATAGTCAATCATAAAATTCTTGTATTGTTGGATTATTGTGGTAGTTTTTTTTGTGTTTGGGTATGTCAGAAGAAGAACATCAGCCAACACAACACAAGCAATTAATAGCATTAAATAATTATTGGGGGGAATCCGATTCCCCTCCTTCAGGGATGGACCAAAACACTACCACGTGGGAAGGGAAGCTCTGCAGAGATCAATGCTCCGTGTGGGCATTGGACACTGATGCCCGCTCCTCTCCCTCCCTCCCTCCCTCTATATATACCATGGCACATCGCTGCTTGCCTTCCATCCATAGCAACCAGTAACATCTCCATCAACTCTCCTCCCTGTGTTCTTCTTGCTGCTGCTGCTGCTTTCATTGCATTCCCTGATACCTGCAAAGAAGTTGCAGCTGAAGGAAGAGAATGCAACAGGTAAGAAGAGAAAAGCTCTCTCCTTTTTGGTGCTTTCATGCACATACTCCATCCGCCACCTCCTCTCTGTCTCCCCTCTCTGCTTCGTCACCCTCTCTTTCTGTGCTTTGGCATCCATTCCGAGCCTAAAGTTGTCTCTTTTACTCTCTCTCTCTCTGTCTCTCTCGAAGATCTCATCTTTTGCCTCTGTTCTCTCTGTTTCTGGACACAAGATGGGGGAGACCGGCAACGCCAAGCACTACCAGCAACCGGCGGTGGTGCCCATGAACGTCTCGATAGAGCTCGGCCACGCGCATCGGCTCGAGAAAGCCTTCGAATGCTACGACGACGACGGCCGGCTCAAACGAACCGGTAAAGATCACTACTTTGCGTCTTCTTCCTGTTGGCTCCGGGTTGGTGCTTTCTGCGTCTCATGGAGGAAGGGTTGCGTCTTCGTTCACGTTGCAGGGACGGTGTGGACGGCGAGCGCGCACATCGTCACGGCGGTGATCGGCTCCGGCGTGCTGTCGCTGGCCTGGGCCATCGCGCAGCTCGGCTGGGTTGCCGGCCCCGTGGTCATGCTCCTATTCTCCTTCGTCACGTACTACACCTCCACTCTCCTTGCTGACTGCTACCGCTCCGGCGACCCGATCTCCGGGAAGCGCAACTACAAGTACACGGATGCCGTCCATTCCTACCTCGGTGAGCACGCCAACCCCTCCCAGAGATCTTTACCGCAGCGGTAGACTAACCCTCTACCTTCTCTTCCGCAGGTGGGCTAAAGGTCAAGCTCTGTGGATTCATCCAGTATGCCAACCTCTTCGGCGTCGCCGTTGGCTACACCATTGCTGCCTCCATTAGCATGATGTGAGTGGAGTCCAAACGAAGAAGAAAGACGAGTCTTCCTCCTTGCGGGCGTTCTAAATGCGTGGTTTCGTGCTGTGGAACAGGGCGATCCGGAGGTCCAATTGCTTCCATGAGAGAGGCCACGATAACCCCTGCCACACCTCGAGCAATCCTTACATGATCATGTTCGGCGTCGCGGAGATCTTCCTGTCGCAGATTCCCGACTTCGATCAGATATGGTGGCTCTCGATCGTCGCCGCCGTTATGTCGTTCACGTACTCCTCCATCGGCCTCGCCCTCGGCATCGTCCAAGTGATCGGTATGGCCTCCAACTCCATCCCTTTTTGGCCATGGTGCACGGTGTTTCCTCATCTTCTTCGTTTCCAAGCAGGCAACAAAGGCTTCAAAGGCAGCCTCACCGGAATCAGCATCGGCGTCGTCTCCCCGACCCAGAAGGTATGGCGCAGCCTGCAGGCCTTCGGCGACATCGCCTTCGCCTACTCCTTCTCCCTCATCCTCATCGAAATCCAGGTAACTTTTGGCTGCCTGATGAGCTCGACCGATCGATGTTCCCTCCACATGCACACTGCAATGGCGCTCCTGTTCATGCAGGACACCATCAAAGCTCCGCCGCCATCCGAGGCGAAGGTGATGAAGAAGGCGTCGCTGACGAGCATCGCCGTCACCACCATCTTTTACATGCTATGCGGCTGCATGGGCTACGCCGCGTTCGGCGACGAGGCGCCCGGCAACCTCCTCACCGGTTTCGGATTCTACAACCCCTACTGGCTGCTCGACGTCGCCAACGCCGCCATCGTCGTCCACCTCGTCGGCGCCTACCAGGTCTTCTGCCAGCCCCTGTTCGCCTTCATCGAGAAGTGGGCGCTCACGACGTGGCCCGACTCCGCCTTCATCACCAAGGAGGTCGCCGTCCCCCTCCCCTCGACCAAGCGCTACCGTCTCAGCCTCTTCCGCCTGGTGTGGCGTTCCGCCTTCGTGGTGCTGACGACCGTCATCTCCATGCTGCTTCCCTTCTTCAACGACGTGGTCGGCCTGCTCGGGGCGCTCGGCTTCTGGCCGCTGACGGTGTACTTTCCGGTGGAGATGTACATCGCGCAGAAGAGGATCCCCAGGTGGAGCACGAGGTGGGTGTGCCTGCAAATTCTAAGCTTAGCTTGTCTCGTGATCACCGTCGCAGCCGCCATCGGGTCTGTCGCCGGAGTTGTCACCGATCTCGAGGCCTACAGGCCCTTCAAGAGCAGTTACTGAGACGACCTCCAAAAACTGATGAAGAAATAGTTCATATAAACGCATCAGAAGTTGCCTCGTAGTACTTATTATTAGTATAATTATACTTGTGTTTCTACCTTTTTGTTGTCATTTATGTCACTCCTCTTAATGATTATTAATGATGAAAATACCTATTTCATTTGTGACATTGTTAATTTTTCATATCATTTTAGTTCTCATTTTTATAAAATATTAACTTATTTCAAGGATGATAGCTCGTCCTGATGAGGATAGTAATTATGATAAGACTCGGTTGACGTCAGATGACGCCTCACGCAATAGCACCTGGTCAATACAGACCGGAACGCCGACCGAGGCGCATTAACATCCTACCGAAGCTCAATTCTTCACGTCACGCCAACACAAAGTCAGATGCTACCAGCCTGCCCCTTGCAAGCGGGCAGCTCAGGAAGCAGTATGCTTCCCTATAAATACCCTCTCATTCATTAGAAAGAGAGGGGGGGACAAACACACAAAAATCCTTCTTCATCTGAAACCCCCTCAACATCTGCTAATTTGATCGTCGGAGGGGTCGGACCGAGAGCCTCGGCTTGACCTTTGTGCAGGTGCGAAGCCGAAGGTCCCCT